CCCCCAGTGYGAATTCTGTCCCCCTGGGCAGCACCTAGTGCCCTGGAGCAGGACTGTGGGGGGGTCTGACCACTGGAGGGGCTCCAGCCAGGTGGGCAGGCCRGGCCTTCTGCTGGAGGCACTTTGGCCAACTCCCTGCGGAGGGCCTGCCTGGGGTGGGAGGAGGAGGTGGAGCCTGGGGAGGAGSCCTCCAGGCTGGGGGTCTGGTGTGGTTCTGGAGCAGACCTCCTCTCTGCCCTTATCCAGAAGGACAAGTGCATYGCACACCGAGGGGCAGCCTGGCTGTGAGGCGAAGAGGCCAGTCAGGGGTCTATGGAATCAGGGCCTGAGGAGGGCAGATATCCCACAGTTACCCAGAGGAATGGGGACACTGACGGCTGTCAAGCATTTCCTCAAAGGTGTGCATTAGCTGGGCTCGGTGGCACACGCCTGCAACCCCAGTGGCTCAGGAGGCTGAGGCAGGAGGATAGCAAGTTCAAGGCCTGGGCAATTAGTGAGACTCTGTCTCAAAATAAAAAGGGCTGGGGGTTCAGCTTAGTGGTAGAGTGCCGGCTTAGCATGGGAGTGGCCCTGGGTTCAACCCTCAGTACCTGGGGGSAGATATAGAAGAGGCTGTTTTCCCTAGAGGTGAGTTCCCCATCTCCAACGGCATCCAAGAGGGGCTGGTGGAGGGGGAGCTCTGTGCTGTGCATGTCTGGGTGTGTGTCAGGAGGCAGATGTRGGGCTGGACTGAGCTAGATGAGCATTAGGGCTCCTTTTCATGCTGGGTCTGTGATTCAGTGATGTCCCGCCCAGGGGAGGTTTGAGGTTTCCTTGGGCATGGTGGYCCTCTACCTCACTACGCCCTGCAGCTGGACCCAGAAGCCTGGGCTGTTCCTTGGGTTTGTGCTCCCCTTCCTGCCTGTGCTGAGCCCCAGCACAGGCCTTGAAGGAGTGGAACAGAGTGGACAGCCACAGGCTGCTTGGGGGACACRCAGAGGGAGGCATGAGAGTGCCCCTTGCTCAGGCGGAGACGTGGAGTAGTCAGGTCTTGYTGCAGGGCCACCTGCAGTGGGGCCTGGAGCTTTCCTCCCAGGTGAGAGGCCTGGGGGAACTCCTGGGGAGGCTGAGGAGGAGGATCTGGAAGATCCCTGGGACCCTTAATGTGGGCCCTGGGATGCTGGGCTCTGATGGGTGTGAGGCTGGAGGCACACATGGAGGAGGCTGAGGAGCTGTGGGTGCCAGTGGCTGGCAGGAGGGGAAAAGAGGGAAGGACCAGAGGTTGGGTTGGTCCCTCCTGGGAGAGCCTRGGGCGAGGTGGGGGACAGGGATATGAYGGGGCAGCCTAGGCTCTACCCAGGGAGCCTGCTTGTAGCTGGSCAAGTCTGGGGCCAGGTATTGGGAGTTTACAAAACCCCTCAGGTGATCCTGGTATGTCAAGGGTGACTCTGCTCCAGACAGAGTCCACAGCAGCATGGGGTGACTTCAGCATGCGGTCAGCATGTGGATGCGCAACCTCACTGCAGAGCAAAGGAGCGAGGCCTCAGGCCTGCAGCCCGTAGGGGACCGCTTACTCATGGAGACCAGTTAAAGCCAGACAGGGAGCACCTTATTGGCCTGTCCAGGGTACAGGACCACAGTGACAGAGCCGTGCAGCAGGTGGGAGAGATCGGGCTCATTCCGAATGCAGCGTGGGTGGAAGCTAAGGAGCAGGGCGAGGGCCAGGGATGGCAGATGATTCCAGGGGAACAGCAGGGCAGGGTTCTGTCTAACAGACCCTCAGAGACTTGTTGAAGACCAGCCAGGCTGACCCTGATCTAAGGCCCCTGGGGGGAGGCAGAGGATGTAGCCCTGATGACGCTGAAAGTGGCTGGATGTGGAGGATGGCTTCTGGTGAAGCTTGCTGGTCGGGTCCTTTGCTAACCTTGGGGTTCACAGGGAGACACAGGGGAGGTTCCCCAAAGCGTTGTCAAGCACGTACTTTATTTAAAAAAWTTTTGTTTTAGTATTTTTCCTTTTTTGCAGTGCCAGGCATTAAACCCAAGGCCTCACACATGCCCGGCAATGCTTTACCACTGAGTGCAGCGCCAGCCCCGCACCTACCTTCTGTAGGACCCCAAGGCCACTTGCCCTGCTGTGGGGGCTCACAGCCTGGACAGGCAGGCTGCTTGTTCTCRTAGCACAGAACCCAGACTAGGGAAGCCCACAGCTTCTGACCGCACTCCTTCCTTGAGCTCTCCCTGCTGGTGACTCAGCCAGGGCCTGTGGGCACAGCATGTGACCCTTGGTGGGACCCAGAAGCAACTCCCCTCCCTTCCTCTCCTCCTGGGATGCCAAAGAACGCCTCTGCTACTCTGTAGCTGCTGGTGGAAAAGGAAAGGCACRGTTTTCAGGCACTGCACACCCATCACCCTGCTCTCACCGCCCTGGTGCCTGCTCAGAACGCCCCTGCTTGCCTGGCCTCCATTCAGTGGCTCCAAGATCCTCCCAGTGATGCCCCTTGGCTTCTCAGCCAGTTCCCCTCGCCCTGACTCTGCCTAGAGGGARGCCCCTTGCAAAGCTGAGCTGGGTGGGCACACGGTGTGTGTTGTGTGGAGTGCTGCAATGTGGGAAGAAATCAGCTGTCGCCACCCATTTTCTGAAYCTTAAAGATGATGATGTGTTTTTAAAATGCCTACTTTTTGTATTCTCCCCACAATCCGTGCCATGGGTCGTCCCTCCTGACCCATGCAATAGAGATGGGTGCTTCATGCCAGCACTGAAGGGAGCTGGGCACACAGTGATGCCAGGGACCAGGCCKGGGAGCCGCTGAGGGCAGGGAGTAGTTAGGCAGCCTTTAAGGACATTTAGTGAGGCTTCACTTTGCTGTGTTTGGTAGGTGCCTTTCAGCCCCAGCTCGGGCCGTCTGTTTCTCCTTGAGTTCTCACTCTGTACCTTCCAGGACCACGCTTGTTCATTGTTCACCTGAGACAGTGAATGCACTGGCATAAAACTTCTGAAATCCTTCAGTTGTCATTTGAATCTCTACAGAACCTACAGTGACTTTGAGGAAGGTTAGAAGAAATAAGAAGTAGGAGAGACAAGGARAAGGACAAGGAAGGACAATGCTGATCTGAGGTCCCATGCACCTGTCCATCCCTCTCACTTCTCAAGCTCAGTCTTCCCAGATCTGTCTCTCCCACTTTTATGGKAAACCTGGGCATCTTAGAGTTATTGCAAACCCACCCCCTCTTGTGAAAATTACCTGTGCACTTTAATTAGTTTATAAAATAAATAGATTAAGCAAGGGGAGATACAGTGTTTTTTTTAATGCAGTACTAGTGATTGAACCCTCGGATGCTCTGTCTACCAGGGCTACATCCCCAGGGTCTTGAGACAGGGTCTTGCTAAATTGCTGAGGCTGGTCTTGAACTTGTGAGYCTCCTGCTTCAGCCTYCAGAGTTGCTGGGATTACAGGCGTGTGCCACTGCACCCGGCTGCTTTTATTTTTATTATTTAATTCCTTCTGATTGTTTTGGGTTTCATTTGCTTGTCCTTTCATTTTGGGCTTTTTTTTTTTTTTTTGGATACCAAAGGATTGAACTCAGGGGCACTTGACCACTGAGCCACATCCCAGCCCTATTTTGTATTTTATTTAGAGACAGGGGCTCACTGAGTTGCTGAGAGCCTCGATGTTGCTGAGGCTGGCTTTGAACTTGCAATCCTCCTGCCTCAGCCTCCCGGGCTGCTGGGATCATAGGCGTGCACYGCTGTGCCCAGCTGTCCTTTTCTGTCCTTTTCTTTTTATGGTGGAAGCTGAAGCCATTGGCTTTTGGCTTTTCTAATGGCAGTTTCTGCTTAGAGAGCTGCCTCCCAGTCTTGGTTATCGGGGTCTGAGTGGAAGGCAGGTGTGGCTGAGAGGTCAGACAGTGGGGACACCTGGCCAGGTGCAGAGATCTGGTCTCCACAAGCCATGCCCAGCTGAGTGACCATGTGTGACCTTGGACTTTGACTCTCCACCTGCTTTTCTTTGCCTGTGTAATTGAACCAGGGGCAATCCCCTCTTGGGCTCCTGTAAGTGAAGTAGTTGAATATACCTGGCCACCTGGCAGGGCCTTCCAGACCCATATGTGAGGGCCCTTGAGTCCCTGTGACAAGGATATTCTGTCTTGCAGGTCCGGAGACAGCATGTTCACGCCCATCCCYAAGAGGTAGGCAGCCACCCACCCTCCCCTCCCAGCACCCTCAGGGCTGCCCACTCCCTGAGCCCTCATCCACTCCTYCAGTCCTGGGCACCAGCCTTCTCCCTCCCCGCAGTGGCTCTCCATTCCCGGCCTCCGTGCGGGATCCTGGCCTGCACGTGTGGCGGGTGGAAAAGCTGAAGCCGATGCCCGTGGCGCGGGAGACCCAGGGCGTCTTTTTCTCGGGGGACTCCTACCTGGTGCTGTACAATGGCCCGGAAGAGCTCTCTCATCTCCACCTGTGGATAGGTACGGGGCAGAGTGGTGGGGTCTGGCTCAGGGTGGGGGCTGGCATGGGCCTCGGGGATCTTGCCCTTCCATCTCCCTCCTGCCCCAGGCCAGCAGTCTTCCCGGGACGAGCAGGGGGCCTGCGCTGTGCTGGCCGTCCACCTCAAYACTCTGCTGGGGGAGCGGCCCGTGCAGCACCGGGAGGTGCAGGGCAACGAGTCTGACCTCTTCATGAGCTACTTCCCGMGGGGCCTCAAGTACCAGGTCAGGGCAACTTCAGCCCGTGTCCCCCCTTCCTGCCTGTCTCCTGCGGGTGGGGTGCAGAGCCCTGGTYGCTCAGGCGCATGAAGGGGTCCCTTCTGGGCTGCAGGAAGGTGGTGTGGAGTCAGCATTCCACAAGACCTCCCCTGGGACAGCCCCGGCGGCCATCAGGAAGCTCTACCAGGTGAAGGGGAAGAAGAACATCCGGGCCACAGAGCGGGCGCTGAGCTGGGACAGCTTCAACACCGGGGACTGCTTCATCCTGGACCTGGGCCAGGTGGGTGGCCGAGGCTGGGCAAGGAATGAGGCCATACCCCACTCCCAGTGGACCCTCCACCAGGGAGTGCCATCCCAAGCCCAGCCCTTGGGGTTGTCTCCAGGGCCACAGCCACCAGAGCCCCGTGGCTCTGACCTGTGTAAGATGGCCTCTATGTGGACTCAGGCACTTCACTGTGTACTTGGTCCCCTCCARGTGACCACAACACCTCCCGGGTGAGTGCCGGAGAGGTATGGAGTAACGGCAGGGAGCACAGACRCAATGTGTCTGAGTATTTCTGATCCTTGGTTGAATCTGGTTGCACCTACATTAGAGGGCCACTGTGGGCAGAGCCGGCCTCCGGCGGTGTTCCCAGGCTCTGAGTCCACTCCCTCCCTCTCAGGAGCCATGGTGGCCTGGGCTACCTGCCTGCCAGCCACTCATGCATTGAGTCCAGGRTGCTCCTCTGGGCCAGCATGGGGGCCTGGGGAGGCAGCCAAGATGGCCTGTCTCCATCCTAGCCCATGCAGCAGTGAGTGGGTCAGAGGCCAGGGGCTGGGGCTCTCAGGCAGGGAGGGACCACCAGCCCCCATCCCAGGGAGGAGCCAAAGATGGACCTTCAGGGGAGGGAGCAGGCGGGCAGGGCTGGAGAGGGAAGGGGCATGGTCCTGGAGTGCAGGTGGCTAAGGAAGGCCTTGAGGACACTGCTTTGGGGCTGGAGGATGGCYAAAGATTAGGCGGGAGGGTCAACCTCGCTGTTCTCAGGAGGGCGGCGGYGGTGAGAGGAGGCAGGGGCACAGGGACAGGCCTTGTATCCAGTGGCAGTTCAGGAGAGGAGATGGGGGAGGGGAAACAGCTCTGGGGTGGCATCCCCACTTCCCCGCAGCCGGCCCCCCCCCTCCCCCGCCATTCAGCACACATCTGTATTGTGCCTAACTATGTGCCAGCTCAGCTTTGGCGAGGGCCCAGGGCAGGGAGCAAATCTGTCAGGCTCACTTCCTAGAGTGAGAGGCTGGCTCTAATGAGGTAAAGAGGTGACATGGGCAAGAATAGCACAGTCTTCCTCTAAGGCCTGTCCCTGCCTTCTGTCACACATCCAGGGACAGTCCTCCAGGGAGAACAGGGGAGGCAGGACCCTCCTGGGCTGGGGCAGGACTCGGCCGCTGGCTGTGACCGGGCTGCCCCCTTCCTTGCAGAGCATCTTTGCCTGGTGTGGTGGGAGGTCCAACATCCTRGAGCGCAACAAGGCCCGGGACCTGGCCCTGGCCATCCGGGACAGCGAGCGGCAGGGCAAGGCCCAAGTGGAGATCGTCACCGATGGGGAGGAGCCTGCTGAGATGATCCAGGTTGGAGGACACTGGCGTGGGCAGCTGGGTGCCCTGCTTGGAAGTGGTCAAGAGAGTCAGTGATGAGCTGGGATGCRAGGGTGGCTGGGCCAGGGTACAGGCGTCTCTGTGAGGAGGAGCAGGCAGCCTGGCTGGTGGGTGGGTTGYGCTCACTCTCCCTAGTGCCTTGGTGCAGGACATGGTGAGCCAGACCAGAGGGGTGGCCCTGAGTGTGACGGCTTTAAAGTTTGGGGGCAGGAATTCCAGTATACCTGGCCTGCTCTGGCTCTGCAGGTTCTGGGCCCCAAGCCTGCTCTGAAGGAGGGGAACCCTGAAGAAGACCTCACAGCCGACCAGACGAACGCCCAGGCYGCGGCGCTCTACAAGGTGGGCACTCCAGGCCTTGTGCAGCAGGCGCAGGGCCGGGGCTGAAGGGAGAGGAGCAGCTCAGAGGGCAGGAGGATGGGAAGTGGGGGGTGGCAATCCCCAAGGACATAACTGTCATTTCACTTCGGGGCCCTTCCTGGTGAAGTTCAGAAGCTAGTTCCAAGYGTCCTCTGTTGAACAACTCTGGTGGGTCAGTGGATTTGGAGCCTCACCAGGCAGTGCCCAGCAGTATYRAGGTGGRGGGCAGGGGTGGGGGCTGCCTCGGCCAGGGCAAGGCTCTGGGGAGCAGGAGAGAGGGCCCTGGCCCTCTCTGGGCTGAGACGAGGGCTGGTGCTTGGGAAGTCAGACTTGGCCTTCCCTTCCCCCYTCAGGTCTCTGATGCCACTGGACAGATGGACCTGACCAAGGTGGCCGACTCCAGCCCCTTTGCCCCTGAGCTGCTGGTGCCCGACGACTGCTTTGTGCTGGACAACGGGCTCTGTGGCAAGATCTACATCTGGAAGGGTACGMGGGGCTTCTCCACAGCCGCCTGGGCCCTGTAGCTGCCCTAGCCCAGGCAGGCACCCATGGCCACTGCTCTGAAGCTGCAGCCCCCTGCAGTCGCTGAGGGCCTGTTGCTGGGTCCTGCCCCAGAGATTCAAGCTTGCTAGGCCTGGGGGCAGCTACCACTCCTGGCAACCACTCTTTTAGCCCCTTCCTTGGCCTTCAGGGCTTGGAGACCCCAATCCTGGACTCTGCCTCAAGGTGTGACAGGTAAATTCTAGATAAATTACACATCACCTTATGCAGTGGGTGGTGAACTCGCAGAACTTGTTTCCCAAGAGATGGTATAGAGAGATGGTATTGGCTGGAGGGAAACTGCTGTGCTGAGCCCTCCTGTCCTGCCGGCTCTRGCCCTCAGGCCCTGGGCCCTGGCTTTGCTTCCTGGAGCCTGTTTCACCTTCCTGACCAGCGGACAAGCTTCTCTAAAGCAGGAACTGTGTTTATCTGATGGTCTYGATGAGATAGCTACAGGGTTAACAAGCTTGCCAGCCCCCAGCCTGGTCAGGAAGAGAGGTGAGGCGTCCAGAGATGGCRGCTCCCAGCGGCTCATACTGCGGCCTCCCAAATCCAGCAGAGACCTGGGATAGGGGCCTGGAGGTGCTGGCAGCATGGTTGATCTCTAGGGTTTGGGGAGGGGAAGAGAGAGGCTCCTGCTGGGGCTGCTTTTGCCCTCCCTGGAGGGGAYGTGCCCCGCGGCACTGATGCCAAGCATAGGAACCTCAAGCAAAGAATTATTACAGAAAGAGAATCCAGAGGAGAAACGGGGAGTGTGAGAGCCAGGAAGATGGGTGGGTGCCTGTGGGTCGGGTGCGGCTGGTGTGTTSACAGGGAGGGAGTTGAAGCATGTCAGTTCAGATATGCTGTAGTTCACGGGGTCCCCACAGCCTGGCTGCAGAGCCAGCCACCGTTCCCAGCACTATTTCTTTGRGAAAAATGCCTTGAACTGGAGCACAGGTTGGGTTTAAGGACTGTCTGCAGAAATGGGTGGATTCTGCATGGTTTATTTTGATTAGCACTCCAGTAGCATAACCATTATACCAGTGGAGACTCGCTGGCATTATAGAAGTCTGTTCTCCATAATAAATTGTCCCTTTTGTTCTCAGTTTGTCAAGAAGGCTTGAGTTGGGCACGGTGGCCACGCCTATATTAAAGCAATTTGGAAGGATGAGACAGGAGAATCGCAAGTTCAAGGCCAGCCTGGGCAACTTGGTGAAACCCTGTCTCAAAATACAAAATAAGGGCTGGGGATATGGTTCAGTTGGTTTAGTGCTTCCCTCGCCTGCACAAGGTCCTGGATCAATCCCCAGCACCACCACAAATAAATAACGGCTTGGGATATGGTTCAGTGGTAAAGTGCCCCCGGGTTCAGTCCTCAGTACGAAGAAAAGAAAAGGCTTGCTAGCCATACAATTGACAGGCACAACAGGTAAGGGTCCTGCCCCTACAGTTTGATGGAGAGAGAAAACCCATTCTTCCTGATGTATCCCCCAGGGCCCTGGTCAGAGCAGAAGGTAGTTTGTGCTGCTGGAGATGGAATCCACGTGGTCAAGTGCTCCARAGTGGGTTTTGATGGTCAGACCTGGCAGAAGTAGTTTTCATTTACCTTTGAGATGCCAGTTTAGAAAAAGTATTACAAGGCCGATTTCATACTTCCAAAGAGCTATTTGGCATTCTCATTAACAAAAATTTGATAGCTAGTCTGTGGACCCCTGTTAAATTTCTATTTGGCATTCTCATTAACAAAAATTTGATAGCTAGTCTGTGGACCCCTGTTAAATTTCCTCAAGAAAAATGGGATGGAAACTCTAAAGGATCTCTGTTCTTCACTCTTCCTGTGCTGCAGGGCGAAAGGCTAACGAGAAGGAGCGGCAGGCGGCCCTGCAAGTGGCAGAAGGTTTCATTTCACGCATGCAGTATGCCGCAAACACTCAGGTGAGGAGGCACCTTGGGCCCCAGGCCCCACTCCTGGGCCTCCTTGTCCAGTGTGGTTGGCCTGTGCTCCCTGGGACCACTGTCTCTGGCTGTGACTGCCCCTGGTAGCCTATCGTTCTGATAGGGCTCATGGATAACAGGTRGCCTCTGCCAAACTGCACTGGTCCTTGAAGCAGGGCTTTCTCAGCCYGGTCCCTGTAACCCGTCTCCCCTCTTCGCGTATCTGGAGGAGCTGCCTGGCCTGGCCTGCGTGTGCTTGGGCCTTCTGTCCCACCCATTAGTGAYAGAGGTGGCAGCTTCCAAGCCAGCCTTCTCCCCACTGTCCTGCAGGTGGAGATTCTGCCCCAGGGCCGCGAAAGCCCCATCTTCAAGCAATTCTTCAAGGACTGGAAGTGAGGGTGGGCGTCCCCCTGCCCCTGACTGCCTTTGCCTGCTCAGTGTTGAGAAGCCCCGCTGACTTCAATAAAGGAAACCAGTGCCTTCCCCACTCTCCCACTGCCTGCCTGTGTGGGTTTTCATTGCCATGGAGGCRAGGGGGACTGGAGGTGGCCTGGGTCCTGCTGGCTGATGGCCCAGGGTGGGGCTGAGAGATAAGCACCATTCTGGTCTGGGCGTCTGCCTCTCTTGCTCCTGGGCAAGGTGCCCCTTTTGTCTTCACCTGCTTCCTTCTCCTGTGTGKGGTGTGGGGGAGAGACAGCAAAGGGAGGAGCGCCAAGGGGCAGAGGGGTGCTACATCAGGTGTGGCCTGGACAAGCCTGAGCCCTGAGGCCAGGCAGGGCTGCGTCCTGAGGCAGTGGTGGCTCCCAGCTCCAAAGYTGATCAATTCTTCTTGCTGATTTTGTGCCACACAACACTGAAAAACMAGCTGCCTTTTGCAGATCCCCACATCCTCCCATCCTTGATCTGACAGGATGCAAGAGCTGGTGCCAGGCACAGCTTTGAAAGGCGAGAGGCTAGCACGCACACAGTGGCTCTGGCAATAGTTTTAGATTTACGGAGTACTGCAAGTCCCCATGGAGGGCAAGGCCATTCCCCAAGGAAAACGCACAGGTTAAGATTTCTGCATCTCYTGTCAGAGGGTTCATTCCCCTCTGGCAGCCCTGTACCTTAACAGCTCCTGGACTACACCACTGGCCACTTCTGAAGGTTTGAGGAAAGCAGCCATGAGCACTCTGGTCTGAGGAGCCTCAAGCAGGCCATGAGGGAGAGGAAAGACCACTGCTGCTCCTGAGGGGACAGYTGTTCCCCTTCAGCCAGAGCCCTGGCATGCAGCCTAGCCCCCACGGTGGAGCCCATGTTCCTAGTGGGCCTTCAGGTGACRGGAGGGAGGGAGGACACCTGACTAAGGCTCCGGCAACGTGACCCAGGTGCAGCTCTCCTCCCCTCCAAGCCCACTGTGCCTGCATCCCCCTCTGCTGGTCTGAGGGCGCTGCTGCAGGAATTCACAGAACAAAGCCTTGTTTAAGTCCAGCAAAGGTGACATGAGGCAGACGGCAGGGCTTGTCACCAGCTGCACTTGGGGGAGTACCCTTCTGCACCTAGAAGGCCATCTGTCATCCTCACCTCTGGAATGGGTCCCACCTGCAGTTGTTAGGCCTGGAGGAAGGATGGAGGCATGGAGGGGGCTCTCACCTGCCCCCACCCCCAGCTTGGGTGCCTGGCCTGGAGCTGTGAGGGGAGCAACAGAGCCAGGCTTGTCCAGAAGCAAATGCAGGACACCATGCCAGTCTACCCTGATARGACCCAGGGCCACCGTGTCCACTGGCCAGAGCTCGCACCTGCAGCCAGTGAAGATGGGCCTGGCAGGAGCTCAGTGCCGAGTCTGGCCAGGGCATAGACAGCTGCTCCTTCTTGGGCCACGTGCTTCCACCTGCAGGGCTCTAACTGGGACCTGGGACAAGGCACAGGAAGGCCMTGCAAGATGGGTCCTGGAAGGATACGGTGGGGACCAGACCCTCCAACTGGAGCAACTGCTTTATTCTAGAAGTGCTGGTGTGTGAGCAACTTCCTCCTTCCTCACTCAGGACAGAAAACAATCATGAGGAAGYGTAGTCTCCCAGGACAAGCCCCTAGCTGGTGGGCAGCTGGGATGGGGCAGCCGGGGCCACCAGCCCAATGCCCATCTCTAGACCACAAACTGAGGGGAGGGGAGGCCTGGRGAGGAGCAGCACCAGCTGCCAGTGCTGCCTCCTGCTGGCTGTCATCGCTGCTCCTCCCCCTGGGATTTGACCCAGAGGTAGGACCCAATGCTGCCAGGGAGCCAGAGCTCCAGCTGTCTCCACCTGGCAAGCGCCTATGCTGTGGAGGGGCGTGGCACACCCAGACGGGCTGCTGCGCCTTGCACCACCCACTGCCACGAATGCTGGGATGCAGCCCTGGGGGCGGGAGCACGGGTGGGACGGCAGGACTCTGCTTGCTCCGGAGGCAGGTCTGCAGGGAGCAGTCAGGTCTAGTCGCCTGGAACATCTCGCACTGGTGAGGGTACCCAGGTCCARGAGCTTCTCACCTCATTTGCTGAGGCAGGAAAGCACCTGGCCTGGCCAGGGGGCTCTAGACGTGGTTTGCCATGTGTCCTTGGAAGCCTGGTGGCCCAGGCTGGGAGTCTTTCTATCAGCTGGTCTCTGGGAGGCTCAGATCAGCCCTGCACCCTCAGAGGAGTGGGGCTGCAGGTCACACACACCTGTGAAGGTGAGATCTGAGGCGCGAGAGGCTTGTGGTCCAGGGTACTTCTGTGCCAACAAGGAGGCCTGTCCCTTTGATGCCCGGGCCAGGTAGCTCTCCAGGGTCTTGAGCAGCCGCCGTGGGCTCTTCTTGGCCAACGCTTCCAAATCTGGAGGAGAGGATTGGGGAAAAGAAAGCTCAAGGAGCTCTGGGTACCCAACAGCCAGGGCGTTGAGCCTAGCAGCTCCAGTGAGCAYTCCTAACCCCTGGGCCAGGGAGGCCAACATGAAAGACCACCTAGGACGGAGAGTAACAAGAGAGCCCAGGCCCATGTGCTGCCTTATCCAGCTGGTCTTAGCTCTCAAGAGTCAGTCCCCTGCTGGACCCTTGGTTCCCATGTTTGATTCAGAAAATGTGACCCCCAGAGGCATATGGCCAGGAAGGAAGGGAGTGGTRGCATAGAACTCAGAGCAGCAGGCCCTGGAGGGTGGCTGCTGCATGGGGGCAGGAGAGGGAGCTGCAGCCTGGAGCAGAAACCACCAGGGTCTCTGGACCTGAGACATGGTTCAGGGGCTGCAGCTCCCCAGGACAAAGAGCACACCTTTGAGAACAAAGCCYGAGTCTGAGATGGTCTTCTGCTGGGTCCTCCAGACGTGGGCGAGGCGGAGGAAAGTGGCAGCATAGAAGCTGTTCACCACGGCAATGACMTTTTGCTGCCGGTTACACTCCCTACGAGACCAGGGAGGTGGCCAGTTAAGCCACAGACGAAGGCAGACACCCGGGCACCCTCCCTCCTTCCCTCCAGGGAGCCCTAGAGGAGCCAGCCAAACCCAGAGATTCCACTGCTCTCCAGGAGGCTCTGCTCCTGGGTCAAGTCGGGGAGCAGGGGTGGCTGGAGACTGGTGCACAGGGACTCTGCCCAGGCTCTCCAGGACTAGCAGGGGTCACATTAACCAGCTGCAGTTGGGCCTCACCTGGAGAGACACTCCTCCCTCAAGGCCTGGATGGCGATGCGGGTGACGTTCACAGACATCAAACAGAAAGGAAACTGCTGGAATGGAGGGGCAGCGGGTCAGTGGCTGCCCAGGCTCACCCTGTTTTACCCTGAGCYCAGCTTGGCCAGAGCCAGTCAGAGGCAGAGGTGGCTGCTCATGCTGTCGTCCCATCTTACAGGTGAGAACACTGAGGTTATGTGCTCCGCAGCTGGGGTGTGCTCAGTGGCAGAGCATTTGCCTGGCCAGCATGAGGCCCAGGCTGCGACCCCAGCACAGCACACACAGAAAGAACACTGAACAAAGGCTGTAGTTCAGCTAATACTTTCTTAGTTYTGATAATGGTTCTAGGACTACACAAGGTTATTTCTAGCGGATGGTAAGAGAAAGATATATGGGAACTCTGGGTTACTTTTTCAATTTCTAAGTCTAAAATTATTTCAAAATAAAAATTAAAGTGCATTATTTAGACTTGGCCTCTTTAAGACAATGTGACCCAATGGCTAAGGGTGTGTGGGGTCCCAACAGCTCCCTTCATTCCAACACAGCTTTGCTGCCCTACCTCGTTATTTATTTACTTATTGTACTGAGGATAGAACCGGGCGGCACTTTACCACTAAGCTATATTCCCAGCCCTTTTTGAGAATTTGAGACAGTGTCTTGCTAAAATTCTGAGACTGGCCTTGAACTTGAGGTCTTCCTGCCTCAGCCTCCTGAACTGTGGGAAATCACAGGTGTGCATCACCGTACCTGGCCACCTATATATCCTGAATGTATTGAGGCCAAGCTCRTCTTCTTCGCACCTCTGCTTGCGGTGACTATACACTTCTCCCCAGACCCTCAGGTCACAACTGGTTTCCTGGACCCCAGCCCCACGAGCCTCTGCTAAGCCTTGGTTGGTCCACACCTCTCATCCTTCCTCAACTCCCTAAATCCTGCCACCACGTCCCTGGCAGAACAGTAGTGCTCCGTGCTTCCTACTCCAGCATGCCGCTGCTGCATGTTAACAGCACGTATTCCCACACTCACTGACTGTGGAGGGGAGGCACCTCTGCTCTGCAGACCCCTGTACATGCTCCTCCCACAGCCCCCAGCTTTGATTGCCACCTCATCAGATGATATTGCCCACTTGAAAATTGCAAGTACTTGGAATTATGTGAAATAAAAACTACTGAAAAGTATCCTTCCCACTACCATGCCTTGTTTGCTCCCTTTTGTGACAAAATTCCTTGAAAAAGTTGTCTAATTTACCATCTCCAATTTATCCCTCCAATTCCCTCTTACACCTAATCTAAATCAAGGTCTTTTGTGTCTAACCCTCATTGAAAATGCTCACATCAAGGTCCCCGGGGACAAACCCAGACACTGCAGATGCTCCTCTCCGTAGTCAGCACCATCCACCCAGGTGGCTCAGGCCTGCTCCACTTGGCTTCCAGAGTGGCACCCACCCCTGGGCTCCCGTCCTGCTTTCAGCCCGCGCTGCCCACTTCATGCTGCAGTGGCTTAGGCTGCCTCACCCCTGACATTGGAGGTTCCCAGGATCCCTCGCACACGGTGTCCTGCCCCCTCAAGAGTTTCTGATTCCTGAGGTCTGGGGAGGGCGCAGAAGGTCCAATTCTAACAAGTCCCAGGAAGGCTGATGGAGGGCATCTCTGGAGCCACAGGTCTAGCCCACAGCCCTCTCCCTAATTCCACACTCATATATCCAACTACTTACTAACACTGCCACTTCCAAGTCTGAGGGACCTTTAAAAATACGTGTGGAAAATAGAACCCCAGCCCTGTTCTCCTTTTCAGCTGCATGTACTGAACAACCCCACTGTCTGCTTTCTTAGCCCT